CTCCCCACAACAGACACCCTGTGAGGTAGGTGGGGCTGAGAGAGCTCTTTTGAGAACTGCCCTTGAGAGAACAGCTCTGAAAGATCTTGTAACTGACCCAAGGTCACACCAGCAGCTGCATGTGGAAGAGTGGGGAATCAAACCCGGTTCTCCCAGATTAGAGTCCACGCTCCTAACCACTACACCAAACTGGCTGTGTCCTGCGGGCTGTTTGGTGTAGTGTTTCAAACATGGAGTCTGGCTGGATCAGACCGGTGGTCCATTTAGTCCAGCCGCCTCTTTCCTGCAGTTGTCAACTCAGTGTCCTGGAAGGCCTCCAAGGAGGGCACAGAGGAGTCCTATGCAATGCTCCCTCTAAGCCGTGGAGTCTTGTGAGCAAAGATTCTACTTTGTGAGCTACTGGCATCAAAGTTGTGAGCGAGCGATTCAGGTCGTTTGCTCTGGAGCCCTCCTTCCTGAGCCGAGACAAAAATGTGTGAGCCGGAGGCTGAAAAACTGAGCTAGCTCACACTAACTCAGCTTAGAGGGAGCACTGGTCCGAGGCCTCCCCTGTCCTTTTGCCTCCAGAAAGTAGTACCCTGCCCCCGCGTGTATGTATTTGGGGAAAACCCTAATCCAGACGGCGTGCAGGTTCTTAACCTAAAAATGATGCTTCTTAAAATAAGCATATCCGGTTCTGACTATGCCTTTGTGTTATAGGAAAACAGGTTAGAGGTTCCTTCTCCCCCCCTACACGCGCACACACACACCCCTTGTCGAACACAATGCAGGCCAGTGGGAGTCTGTCCCTCGACTTCCGTCTGTATTTGTGCGCATCTCGGGCTGCTGATGACGGCAGATTGCAAAGAGGAGAGGCTACTTCTAAGAGCTAGAAACAAATTCCCCCAAACGCCACCGGACAAGGGCAGGGTGGATATAAGCTTGCATCAAGTGCCTGCTCTGTTATTAAAAAGAGAGAGAGAGAGAGTTTGGACAGGCACTACTTGAGGTGGAAGGAGGGAGAGAGAGTGAATGAATAAGGCTTCGGAAAGGAGATGCATTTGAGTCAGAGTGAGGCCAGAGGATATAAAGGAATCTAAACTATGGGGGAGCCTACAGATATATATATATATATATTAAGATACTTTTTTTGGGGGGGGGGGCATTTCTCCTGAGGACCAAGATATCGTTCCCTTTTGTCAAAGGAAGGCTCTGGACGGTAAAACAACCAAATCCTGCAACTAACAGCCGAGCAACTTTTGGGCATTTGTCCTCAAACTATAAATCCAACAAGATAGATCCAGGGGGTCTGCCGTGTTGGCTACCTTGAATAAACCTTTGTTGGTCTTAAAGGTGCCACTGGACTCTAAATTTGTTCTACAAATCCAACAGTGATGTTAAGGAGATCTGTGTAGGAGAGATGTGGAAATGGATGAATACGAATGATCGAAGGGAGCGTTGACTCTCCGACGCTCGTCACCTGAAAATCTCATTGGTCCCCCAGGTGCTGCGGGCCTCGTAGCTATGTGTCCTGTCTGCAGGAGAATCTGCCTTTCCCCACACCCGCTTGATCCCATCTATCCTTCCCGTCGCCTCTCCTTATCTCAGCCACATGCTAGGGTGCAGAGCACGGCCGGTAGAGGCTGGTCTATGCTGTAGTGAAGAACAAGCGGGGTTGCTTGCCTTGCCTTCTGCCAAATCGGTTCTCTTGCAGTTGGGGTTGGAGGCTGCATCAAAACCAGACCGGTATATTTAGCATTTTAGGTCTCCAAAAAGCCACATGGGGGGGGGCTGCCTGGGGCCGGCTGTG